GACAGATACAGTGTGACAGCGCAAACTGTAGATTTATAGATGTGCCGTGACAGTGACAGCTTCACCGACAGACACATTAACTTGCTCGAGCCCCGAGGGAAAGCTCCTCATGTTGTCTGAAAAACAGCCCACATTCGACACCACAGGGTAGCACTTTAACAATACAGCAACACGTACTCAGCTGAAATTATTGCAATGGTTACTTTATAGATTTGAGATCAATAAAAATTTCTATAATTCATGTACGATCTTTGTGAAAGCCTGTGTCCTAAAAAAAAAAGAATTGCAAAGCAAATGGAGGAGTAACTTTTCAAACTGATATGGTCATTATGTGGGTAGATTTTATTTAATTTTTTTACATGAGTGTGTTTATGTGTGACTGTGCACATTTAAGAGTCAGTTTGAGCCGTGATATTCCTCTGCCGTGTCAGATTTCAAGTGCGTCTGTGTTTCTGTGTTTGTGTGCTCACTCAAGTTTTGCTATAGCAGCACTGAGGCAGCAAATTAAGCAGCTCCCGCTTGGGTAAAGATCACAGGGACAATATTGGCAATCTGAAGTGAACAAGTGGCACCTTTGGCCTTTCGAAGTCACAATTAAAGAAAACTCTTTCCCACTTTATTTTGCCGTGGCTTTGATGTGTTATGGGGAGCAGAGGCCGTTGATTAAAGGTCACAATTATTTCCTTCTTTTTCCTTGGAATTTCTTTTCCTTTCCTTACATATTTATATTATGTACAAAACTCTTCAGCGACCCCTCATTTCTATTTCGCTTCCAGGACACCGACAATACAGTAATTCTCCAGGCTTTCTGGAGGTCTTTCACCTTTTTCTTTGGACACTGGCTGCTTTTCATAGATTTTCAGTCCAGTCTTAGTACCACCATTTTGGAAGTTATCTCCTCCTACTTAGGGACCTATCTTGACATAAATACCATATTTTTTGGACTATAAGGTGCACTGGATTATAAGCTGCACTCTTAATGTATGGGTCTGTTTTCATACATAAGGCACACCAGATCATAAGGTTCATTAAGAAACAAAACAGTCAGATAAGTCAAACTTTCATTCTTCTTGCTTCCTCCACTTCTGTACCATTGATTCATTAATGTTGAATTCTCTCGCTGCTCTATTACTGTATTGTTGCAGTATATTAATGACTAACCTCATATTGTGGATGGGTTGTCTCAGTTGTTCTCCTGACTGAAGTTTGGTCCCTTTACAGCATCCTGCCAAGCGATTGGATTTATCCTTAACCATCAGGAACCGTCATGTTAAGTTTTATCGAGTGGAAAAAAGTTGGCGTTCATCCTCCAGCTTTACTGTGTTTATGTTATGCTAACATAGCTGTGTCGCTAGCGCTCACGTAGCACATCATTATATACCAGCTAGTTCAACTTCAGTAACCCTACAAATGTCACTGCTGTTTAGTTTTCTGCCTTCATTTATGTTGGAAGTGATAGCAGAGCTGTACGTTTTAATTTGTTCAGAAATCTCTCAGTCAGAACATGCTATATCATGTTTAGGTGGAAACTAGCGAGCTAACGTCCTGCTAACTCTGTTAAATTTAATACATTCTGTTTTCATGGATGCCTGGATGTTAAACTTATTTGTTACACCTGGTAAAGCAGCAAAGCTGATCATTTTATTAAAGATGGAAGAATTTAGACAATTTTTAACTCTCAGTGTTGCCGCAGTGCTCATTTGACTTTGGGACCTGAAGCTAAGCTTGGACCCAGATTACTCCGCGAGGCTCCTGACTACGGTAGCTGTAGTGCTCCGACAATCCATCAACCGGTGCGGCTTCATAGCTCACCAAAGTCGTACTAAAATATTTTTGGACAGATTTTTGAGCAGCGTGTACCACATAAAATCGGTTTGAGGTCAGTAAGCACAACCAGAATTCATACATAAACCGCAGAGGATTATAAGGTGCACTGTCGATTGTTGAGAAAATTAAAGGATTTTAAGTGCGCCTTATAGTGCGGAAAATACAGTTGTCCCTAAGGCACTATGAGTGCCAACATCTATTTGGCATATAAAATACTTTATACAAATCACACAATCATTGGACAGTTCCGTTTATCAGCAATAGAAGACTTACAGAACAAAGGGGTTCGCTAGTTGATGGAATTACAAACAAAGATATGAAAACCGGTCCAAATTATGAACATCAGATTTTCAGCCACCAAACAATAATATCTGGAAAGTATCTGATTGGGAACAGCTTCATTTTTCAGCACAACACTGGAAATGCAGTAAAAGCATACCTGGATAGAAAACCATACGATGGAACACAATCAGTCATGGATTGGCCTCCCCAGAGCCGAAGAACAAAGATTGTCATACCAAATATTGACTTTCAAGCTCATTAGAATTGTACAAACTCTGTTTATCCCTTACATATTTCAATAAATCACTCCACCAGTTTCTCTTTTCCATAGAAATGTGTAAAGAAATGAAGTCGTGGCTCAAGACTTTTGCACATTACTATAATTCATCACTTCCACGCATTGTTTCCCCAACAAGAACAGTAAAAATATTCAGATTTTTAAAATACTGCAAAATGTTGTAACCTTTAAAGTCATTGTCTTGAAGCTCGTTTTGAAATAGACTTGTTCTTTGAAGCTACATTCACTGGATCATATATACTGATGCCAGAGATGAAAGAGAGCAGCTTCTTTGACTAAAAAAAGCCCCCCAGAAGATCTTTTTTTCCATAACTCATAAAATATTTTCGTAAGTAAAAAAGGAAATAGAAGAGACCGTATCTGCAGTTCTACCTTTGAAGCTGCAGGAAGCCAGCTAAACCGCCTCACACTAATCCAGGTATATCCTTCATAATACCTCTTTGTGTTAAACAGTTACCGCAGTCATCAGCCATACAAACACTCAATCCAGCCTCCTTACAGGTCACACATGTATGCTGTGAAGGTCCCTGAAAAGAGCAAAGAGCATAATCCATCCTGTGCTCAAAAGATTGCAGTGCTTACTGTTTGTCTGGTATATGATACTTACATTTATTAAACATGAAATCTTTGCAGTTTCTAACAATGTTTGAATTACAATGTGGTTCATAATGTAAGCTCAATATTTCTTTATTACCACAATCTAATTTTCTTCTGAGACTAAAAGTGGAAAAGTTTCAAAAACTGCTTCTAATTTTCTATTATATATGTTGCTTGAAATTGGGGCACATTTATTATGTAATCAAATTTTTGACACTCATAGCCTGCAGGGAGCTGCGAAGGGCACCACAACAACATGTCATGTGACAAAAACCAAATGTGAAAGATGGAAAAAAAAGAAAACTTTCCCCAAAGTCTGCACTTGGCCTCAATCTGCTTGTTTTCTTGTGTAAATCCAAGCAGACTCTAACACTGCAAACAGTGCGATGTCTGCGAAAACATTCCCTACAGCCTGCCACTTGGGCTCAAACACAGAAAGTAAAAGCTAATGACCAACAATCTGCACTGTAACCAGTATCCCAGTGAAAACTTTAGGCTTGTGACCGCAAAGAGAAAAAGGTCTGTTCTGTAAAACAATAATATAAACATGTAATTGTGAGCTATAGAGACAGGCATTTCAGTCTTTAATGTGCCAAATCAAACGTCTTCTTTAAAAAATGCACATACTTCCTGTGTAGTCAGTAGAAGCACTAATCCATCTTTTGATTTCTGCCACACAAGTTGCAACATGCGCACATTTATCACGGCGACGTGAGGTGAGAAGGAGAGTGAATCTTCAGCATGAGTGACTGCTCGCCTGCACAGCAAGCTCAGAGTCAGCATGTACTTAACTTGGTACTCTCCTCTGCATAACACCGTACCTACTGTTAACACTGGGGAGGCGGTCACATTGGGTGCAATCACCTGGACAGGCTCCGGAAGCAGGAACGCGCTTGTATCATTTTTTTCAGACACACAATCTAGTTTCAAAACTGCATCACAAAACAAATGACAGACTACACTGTTGTGTAGGAATCCTAAAGGTTACTTGTGGAGATGTCACCAGACAGATTCGACACCAAAATACTGAGTACTTGTTTTTGTTTGGTCCATAGCATAGCTAATGAGGTGGGAAGTCTTCAGACAAAAAACAACAAGAAGAGCAAAAAAGTTGGGAAGAAGAAGGTGAGGAAGAGGAAAAGGCACAAGATGAAGAATAAGAACATGAAAAAAAAGAACAAGAAGAAAACGATGAGAAATACAAGAACAATAATAAGAGGAAAAACTACAGGTGGAAGACGGCGATTAGTGCAGGTGCTGTGAAAACGCTGCTAAAGCCGTGTCTGCTTTGGAAGTATCCTGCATATCGAATCAAATTGGGTATCAAGAATCATGTAACTGGTCCACTAGTACTACATTTCTGGTATTGTGACAGGGTCACCGAATAACCTTGTCACAAAGCCTTAAGACCAAAAAGTGTGTAGCTGTCAAAAACATGCAAGGCCTGCACTGTAACAGTGACTTAACTACTTTATGTAAAACTGACAGCTAATGGCAAAACACACAGCAGAGACAAATAAATTTAAATATGAATACGAATGCCATGAGGGCTGGGTTTCTCCCCTGCACCACCGGGCATTAAAAAGCCAAGAGCCCAAAATACAAATAACTGCTGAGTCAGTGAGATACACAGTAGCAGGTTAAGTGTGCAGTGTTAAACCTCTGTTATGTTTCGCATGCTGCACACTGAGCAATGCATGTGACTGTCTACAACCATGAGGTTCAGTGTAACGCATGCTAGTCTACACAGGGATGTGAATAAAAACCAACCATGTTTGCCTGAATGTTTCCAATTTAACCGGCGAGGCACAGGGAGTCACTACTGCAAGGAAAAAACAAATGATTGCTGCATTGTTCACAAAGCTTTGATATATACACACACAAACATACAAGCAGGCGCATACACCCACAGCACAGCCGCACAAATGCTGGAATCCTCAGTGGAGGAACATCAAACAACAACAGGTACTGTTAGAATATGGCCAAATGCACTCACCACACTCATGAGGGTCGATCAGATCTCCTTTGTACAGAGAGGTTAGACTGCTCTCTCGCTCTCTCTCTCTCTTCCTTTGTGTTACTTTTTTTTTTTTTTAAAAAGGTCCCCACGCTCATGCTGTGTGTATCGCTACAACCTCTTGTTGAGGCTCAGGTAGAGGGTATTTCGTTAGTGTAGTATGTTTGTGTGTATATGAGCTCAAGTGTGTCTTAGTGTGCCTAATCCCTGCTGAGTAGAGTGGGTGCTAGGCAGCAAATGCTCACTGGAGAGTTGGAAGCACAAAGCAGGGGTTCAAATGAGATTATATGTGTCGATGGCCTGTTTTCTTATGGTTTTGTCGAGGGTCCTTGTAAACTCCACAGTCTGGCATTGTGAAACTATTAAGTTGCAGTGATACAGATTAAGCCACAGTGGTAGTCTACAGTGTCATCACCACATCATCTGCATGCAAGTGCTCACTTATTAATAATCATACTATTACACTTTTTCAAGCTGCAACTGCATGCCCACTCATGTCCACATGTATTGATCACACTCTCCTGTGACTGAACAGTGTGGGAGGCGAGGGCTGATGATTATTTCACGTTAAATTAGATGAGCAGTAACAGAATCACAGCATGCAAGGCTGAGCAAACTGCAGTGCTGAAAACGGCCACTTGAGGCCTGCTCCAAAAGTTATTCTCTATTAGACTCATATTGTAAACATCTGTTTTTGTTTATTGCTATAAGCCTATATAATTACTTGTAGTGTCCAGTAGAGGGCTCTGGCGCTTAGTCACCGACAAGCTGCACTTCCAGCTAAGACCGGAAATTCGAGGACTTGTGGTGCATGTGTGCCAGAATGCAGCTCTTAATGAAGGGTAAAGCGGCGTGATACCAGACTGTGACTGAATTAACACATTGCAGCCCTTAGAAGGTGGCGCGAGGTACATGTTTTAATTGCTAAGTTGATATTTCGTTGATTTATATTTGAGTTTGTATTAATAATAAGCATCTAAGAAGATGTGTTTTGTTTTTTCTGTTTAGTTTTTATGGTGCACCTCAGCACTGTTAGATTCTGAATGGAAGTAAAAACACTGCACCCGTCGAGGTTCTCTCTATTCCTTCCTTGGTCTGGGGGACTGCTACACATATGTTAAAAGGCCCAAAATGACACGATTTGCAGCATGACTAATTTTTTAATAACTCCAACTGTATTAGACCTTAAAGTGGTGCATGTGAAGTCAGTTTGAATGACAGGTGGGTTTTGAATAGGCTGCTAGCTGTTTGCTAGCCTTCAGCTAAACTAAGTCACTAAAATGGCTGGGTCAGCTTTGCCTGTGGCTTTGGTTGCTTTCGCAGATTCTGCAATGCAAATAATATGTCTTGCTGTGTGATTAATGTAATTGCATTTTCCAGTTTTCATGGTTAATATTCTAGTATCTAGTCTACTATAGTCACATTGGCTGCATCCGTCTTTTATATACAGTCGATCATAGCCGGCAGGAAGTTCTGAAATAAAGCTTGAAAGTCTGTACTTACCTTGGAATTATTTAGCTTCTCCTAATGGTAAATGGCCTGTATTTGTATAGCACTTTTCTAGTCCCTAAGGACCCCAAAGCGCTTTACACAACCAGTCATCCACCCATTCACACACACATTCACACACTGGTAATGTGCTGGGGCTGAGCACATAATCGTGCTGCAGTGTTTGAGGACACAAATGTATTTGTGCAACAGTTGTGTGTGATGCACAACTGTTGTTGGAACATATTTTATGTCTTCACTTTAATTTAAACATCTGAATTGTTCCAAAGCTTCAGATTTTGAAAAATACTGCTCCATGCTTTTAGTCAGCCTTCAGTTAGTGACACAGAAAGTTTTGGCAAAGTGTTGTGTTACTTAACACGTGGCCGGGTAAATGAGTGGGCCACCATGAGATCAGACACATTATTAAAGTAAGCCAGTGGTAATGGATCTCTCAGACTACTGATTAATGTCCAACTTTACCTGCTACAGTGCTTTTACAATGGCTTCATTATTAAAAAATAAAAACAAGTGTTTACATTTTGTTCCTTGTTCAGCTCTTCAGGTCAAAAAATTCCTAAAGAACTCACTGAGATACTCCAGGACATGAACACACACACAAACAGATGCACCATGAAGGTTTAAGTAGATTAGTGGGTTGCACGATGAGCCCTTAACAGTACTACTCCTAGACAGAGAGGCCAGCTACACAGACCAGCAAGCCCCAACTCTGAAGCGATGCCAAATAGTGCTCGGACTTATATCCAACAATGATGAGACAAACTATAGGACAGAGGTGCAACAACTAGAGTCATGGTGCCACGACAATAACTTGGTCTTAAACACCAAAAAGACCAAGGAGATCATTGTAGATTTCCGGAAGAGGGGTCATAACAACCATCTGCCTCTCTTCATTGGCAGTGAGGCGGTGGAGAGGGTGAGCAGTTTTAAATTCTTGGGGGTAACTGTGACCGAGGACCTGTCCTGGGGCAACCATATCACCTCAGTTGTACGGAAGGCCCAACAGCGCCTCTACTACCTGAGGAGACTGCGGAGCGCACACATTCCCAGATCTCTGATGTTGAACTTCTACAACTGTGCCATCAGCAGCGTTCTGACGTATGGATTTCTAGTGTGGTTCCCCAGCTGCACCAAGGCCGATCAGCAAGCACTCCAGCGGGTGGTGAAAGAAGCTGGCAGAATTATTGGAACAAGTCTGCCAGAGATCAGTAATATCTTCCCCACTCGCTGTCTGAGGAGGGTGCACAGTATCCTGCGGGACCAACATCACCCTGCGCGCCACCTTTTCCATCTGCTGCCCTCAGGGAGAAGGTACAGGTCTATACAGGCCAGAACATCCAGACTGGCCAACAGCCTGTATCCACAGGCTGTGAGGCTCCTGAACTCTCTGCCCCCCTCTCACGGACAATAACCATATCCAACTTCTTAATAGCAATGAACTGGTCTGCATTGGTGCATCATATCTTTATTCTCTTCCCCCTCCTGCCCCCCCCCCCCCCCCCCCCCCCCCCTTTTCTTAAATAGATAACTATCATATCTGATATCATATCTCACAGTACAATAATATTGAATGGGTTGCATTGTTGTATTTTGTCATGTTTCTCAGGTCTTTGTCTGAATTTCTACGAACATTATTGCTAAGGATTGTCTTATTGCATTGGAGTCACACTGGGTTAAATATGTACACTTGGGTTTTAAGGGGTATTTATTATTTTCTTCTTTTTTTGGGGTTGTATGGAAGCCCCAAACGCAATTTCATTGTTCTTGACAATGACAATAAATAAATAAATACTAAATACTAAAATACTAATGCTGTTAGGGATGGCAATAACCTAAAGGGGGTAGAGACAACCTTGTGAACAGACGGTTAGCTTGCTGAAAAAAACCCAGATTTGCTCTCTGAGCTCTCACAAAATCAGCCTGTGTCTTTTAAAAAGGGCATTTATTCATTGGTTTAGAAAAAGAAAGCATGCACATTAAAAATCCTTCTTAACAGAGCAACCTTTTTTTAAGTATAACATAAAACCTGATTAGTTTTCTTTTCCTTAATTGGAAGTGTTTGTTTAAATTTTCTATGTAGTTGGAAATTATCTGAGTGATGTTGTGATGTTTACCATTTTTATTTCCCAAGAAACTGAAGCCCAGAACTTCCAACCTAGTGAGGTCTGTTAGCTAATGGTGCATTTGCACAAACAGCCAAAGGACTGTGAGAGCAGCTACAGTGAGTGAAGGTTAAACACAAACACAAAAATACCCAGGGGCTACCCACCACTACCATATGCTTGGCCCAAGAGCAGCTGGGTTTCTTGAGTATCACACAAATTCAGCTGCTGCCCTAGAGCGTGCCTTAATTTGCTAGATTTTACCAATGCATTTAAAAGCACTTTTTTCTTTTTGTATTTCCAAGTTTTAAACATTTTATTCAAGAGGTGCAAAATAATTGATTGCACAAAAGAGAGTCAACAGCTGCTACAACGCATGCTTATTACAGGCTCAATCAGCCTGAATTTGTTCTGCAACTGCAAGATGACCAAAAGTTCAAAATCAGAATTTAAATAGTTATTCATTCTACTCTGAGTCTAGTCTTCATTATCAGTTAAGTATGCGCATATTAATCCCTCATAAAGATTTATTCAAAGACACTCTCTCCCTCTCACACACATATACACACACAGCACCACTAGATAATAGCCAGTGGCTAAGGACAAGATAAATTAAGTTCCTCTTGCTTCTTTAACAGCAAGCAAAGGGACAAGAATAAATTTAGGAGGGTAATTCTGTAAACACTCTGTCTGTGTACTGGAGAAAACCAAAGATAAGCTGCCAGTTGTTTTTGATGTCAACACGCTTACAAGAAAAGAAAAAGAAAAACTCTCCTGTCATGGTTGAGTCACATGTTGTTCTGTGGCTTCTTTGCCACAGAGGATACATAACATGTTTTCTGTGGCTCAGTTCAGAGGCTAAATTCCCCTGCAACTGCTAAAATACACACAGATGTGCAGAGATTAATTGGGCGTAAGTAACCCTTGTTGACCCTTCACTTTGGTCGTGTTTGACCACTGGGACTGCTCTGTCCACCTTTCAAAAAAACCAACCCTTTTCCTTACTCACAATGTGACCGAAAAACTGTGAAAAGGATGAAATTATGAAGGCTTTTCATGCCCCTGTATTCAGCGATTAAAATTCAGTTACCATATTGTAGTCACCGGGGTTTATTTGACACGCTGCAGCATATAAACACTCACACAAAATCAGTGCATCATTCATTTGTGCACCACTCTCTTCGGCAGTTTCAAAATGATATTTTACAACCACATTCGGCCAAAATCGGGCTTCAGAGTTCCACAAAGCCACGCTTCTCAAAGGTAAATTTATCTCTGGGCCACTCTTATCTGACAATCCAAATGGGAGCATGTGTCAACAAAGAGGACATGTTGTTCTGCCATTTCTCTGTTATTCAGCCTTTATCTAACCAGACGGGTCCATTAAGATTGTTTTGATATGTGATTGATCCGTTCACAACACAGATTCAAGTTTGGCTTTTCTTTCCTGTGAAATAAATGGGATTTGGGAAGAAGGAACCAGACCCCGTCATCCGCTTCATCTGCAGCAGCCATCACCCACAG